CCTCTCTGTAGATGGCTTTTAAATGCCCCTGGTTTCCTTTCATGTGCTTTATCTGTGAATTAGGCAGAGCTCAGACAGAGCAGAATCATTTTACAAACAAGGATGATGAGGTTCAGAGAGAGTTCCCTGCATCACTGATCAAGGATGCTGCATAGGGAGAACTTGAACCTGGATCTTCTGGCTCCAAGCTTTTGTCCTCCGCGGGGCAGGTCAGCCTCCTGGTTTTCTCGTTGCAAAGGTCAAAAACAGAGGAGGGATCATGATGGCCGTAAGCTGCAGCAAACTAGACAGCAGAGCAGTTATCTTTTTTCACTTTGTTTTTTTCCCTTTGATGAACTTGGACTTTCCTGATGGTTCAGACAGTGAAGAATCTGCCTGCGATGCAGCAGACCCTGGTTCGATCCCTGGGTCGGAAAGATGCCCTGGAGAGGGGAGTGATGAACTTAGCGACATCCTGGCCTCTGTGAGCACTCAGGGGTGATGGGAAATAACACACTGTGTATTCTGAGACTCAAGGAACTTTTCTTCTGCGCATCTTGAAGTGTTCTGATTGTCTTTGGGAGCAGGTGATGTAGAATCTTCAGAAAGCATAGCTCCTAGGATGGTGGCTATTGACAGAAAGCTTATGGTGGATACCAGGGTCTTCCCAGGCCTCTCGTCTCTCCTTACCCCTCCTTCACTCAACAAGTGGCGTTGGCTTGCTTCCTCGTTCACCTGGCCCCTAGTTGGCGCTGTGCTAGACAATGGAGAGAGAGGAGGAAGAAAGAGAGACGCCGCCCAGCCCCTGGGGCGGGCTGGCATTCCAGAAGGGGCACAGATACACAGTCAGGTCGGGAAGTAAGTCACCAGAATGAATGGAGATCTGCTCCATGACGTGAAGGATGGGGATGTGGTTGGAAAGTGCGCTTAAGAAAGAGCAGTCAGGGAGGCAGGCAGCATTGGGAAGCTGACGTTTGAGCTGAGAGGTCAAGGATGAAAGGGAGCAGCTCAGATGGAAGATGAGCACAGCCAGGGTCCCAAGGGGAGAACAAGCTCGCCCGTGTCCTGGGAGTCCTGATGAGCAAGGGGTGGGGGAGGCAAGATGGGGGAGAGAGCGGGGTAGGGGTGACTTGGGCAAGTTGGATTTTATTCTAGGGTAAGTGGGAAATCATTGAAGGATTTTAAGCAAGGGCATTAGGTATAATTAGGTTGATACAGGTTTATATTTAGATAGATAATAGGCAGCTAGACAGATAGATGATAGAGCAATAGATAGACAATTGATAGATAATTGATAGATGATAGAGGTACACAGATGATGGAGAGACAGATGATTGATAGATGTTAGAGACAGAGTGATAAATGATAGATGATAGATAGACAGAAAAGTGACAGATGATAAATAGAGAGACAGACAGATGACAGATAGACAGATATAGATATAAATGACTGTTTCTGATTTGGTTCTGATGAAATACTGGTGGTTTATGTCAGGGTGGTGCTAGCGTGAGTGACATGGACACGTTTCAGATTTCATCTGTAATTTCTGACCAGTGGGCTGTGGGCCACGGCGAACACTGGGGCCCGATTGTATGCCTGTCCACTTTGGCAGGGATGGCTGGTCCGCAGGGTGACGCCAGGCGCGGGTCAGTCCCCACACAGTGTTCACCGGGCATTCCCCATCCTCCCCACCGAGGTCCCCGGGAACCGCCCCTCTTTCTCTGGGCTCCGCCGAGCAGCTCTGAGGACCGGAGGTCACCGGTGTGGCCAACATCCCCGCAGCGTCCCTGGAGCTCCAGTCCACATCTTCCTGATAACCTTGTGTCTAAACGGTGGTGTCACAGAAGGGCATGTTTCAAGATTAGCATTTGTAAAGAAGCCTCCTTGCTTTCAGTTTGAGCTGACATGGTCCCTTTTCCTCTGTGGAGATGAAATTTATTAATCATAATAAAACCATCGGATTCTGAAGGTAGAGGTCACCCCGAGGAGCAAAAAGGAGCTTGCTCATTTATGAGGACCAGTTCGGTGCTGCTGTCTTTCTCTTCTGCCCTGGAAGGGAACACTGCCAAACTGTTACCTTGATTTTTCTATGGAGGTTCGATAGATAAGAATGACCATTAAAGGATGTGAAAGGGAAAGTGAGGGGTTACCTTTTCACATTCAGACCACCACTCTGCTATCTGTTCAAAATGGGACATTTTTGCCACAGCAAAATCAGTCCCCAAATTTAAAAAAAAAAAAACAACTACTAATCATTGCTCTGAATTAGCATCCTCACTGCTTGTTTTGGAGGAATACCATGCTGTGGCATCATTTAGTAAATATCCAAGCATTTTTAGTTCACTTTTGCAATTTATAGCCAGTTCCTATAACCAGCTTTGCCAGTTGAAAATACATTAAAAATAATCCTATTACGTTTTTTTTCCCCCTCCAGATCCATGACAGACTTTATTTTCTCATGAAATGAAAATCAACACCAAAGTCATCCATCATGTTCTTTTCTCCCTATTAGTAGCTGCTTCTAATTAGGGGTAAACTCCCCAGTTTCATGAGTAACTTCCATGAATAAAAGATTTATTTCAAAAAGTCATCATTCTTCTCGCTTTAATACACTCTGTCTTGGACATACATCTGCTTTTTGTTTTTTTTTTCCTCCCTGGGAGAGGGGGGAATCTTTGATTAAAGGCAGTTTCGATGAGTCAAAGTCACAAAGGATGTCCCAAGGAATGAAAGCAAGAAGGGCTTGCCTACTTGTTAATTTCACTGAGAGATTCATCTCAGAAAAGAAACACCTGTTCATTTTTGGGGATCGGGAGAGTGCTGAATGTTGATGCTTTTGAAGATCAGGCAGAAGACTTGTGTAGATGATTTGAGCTCAGTGACCTTTGAAATGAGCAGAGAGCTTGGGAGTAAAGCATGTTCAATGAGAGCTTAGAATTTTGTTGTCCAGTCTCTAAGTTGTGTCTGACTCCTTGCGATCCCATGGACTGCAGCACGCCAGGCTTCCCTGTCCGTCACTATCTCCCAGAGTTTGCTCAAACTCCTGTCCATTGATTTGATGATGCCATCCAGCCATCTCATTCTCTGTCGTCCCCTCCTCCTCCTGCCTCAATCTTTCCCAGAATCAGGAGCTTAGTATAATTTTTTTTTTTTTTCCATCTGGAGTCTAACTCAGAGCCTGAGAGTTAGAAAGTTTTTCCCCTGGTTCTTCCTTCTCAGGCTTCATGATGTGAGATCCATCCAGTGCATTCTTATCCATCAACTATGAGAAGGAAGTTTAGAAGGCAAGTAGGGAAAGACAGGGAAGGAGAAGAATAAAGTTGATGCAAATTCGACCCAAGGTTGATAGCATAGACCAATGACTTCTTCCTCCTGCCTTGTTCCTTCCTTCTTTAAAGGAATGTTCAAGACTCAAAAGCCATTGATAATTCACACCTACCCCATCTAGTGGCTGGTTTACCCCTCTGCTAGCCACTGTGAATGTTGGTTGCTAATGGTACCCAACTGCCTCTTTCTGCAGAGACTTACCCTCTCCCAAAGAACCACTGCAACTAGGAAGTTTATCCTCTGCCCTTCTAGGAAGTCTACAGCTAATGCTTAACTAACAAGAGCATTAAAAAGCCAACTCACTCGCCTCCAGCTGGGATCAACTTTGGGGTGCAACTCAGGATTAGGGAGAAGTTGGTTTTCAGCTCAGAACTGATACACCCTTGTTTCTCTATTTTCCCTTTCTCTGAGCTGCTTGCCTCTCCCTCCTCTTAAACGCACCGCCCCCAACAAATCAGGGGCGGAAGAATCTCCATTTCAGACTTTGCTTCCAGAGACCCTCACCTAACCTCGCCTGCATCTCAGCTGTGATCATTACCAAAACAACGGCATTCAAACTCTAACAAGATATCCAGCAGGTCGTTCAAGGAAGGGCACCTGGAACCATGGAGAGCATGAGAGTTGCCCTGAGAGATTCAAGGATCAGCTCTGACTCTGTCTAGCTCTGTGACCTTGAGCAAATGACCCCGTCTCTCTGAGCTCTGATATCTGATGTACTGCCTTGTTCAGTTCCAGACACTTTGAGGCATCTGATGCGTTCGGTGTCCATCTCTTTTACAGTTTTATTCTAAAGCCTGACTTTATTCTAAAGTCAGGGCAGTGGAAGGAGGATGGTAGAGAGAGGAGGAAAAAATCCTGATATAAAGAAATGTCACCACGAAATATTGTTCAAGGGACTTCCTGGCGGTCCAGTGGTTAAGACTTCGCCTTCCAATGCAGGTTCCACTCCTGGTCACGGAGTTAAGATCCCACATGCCTCCTGGCCAAAAAACAAAATACAAAAGCAATATTGTAACAGATTCAATAAAGACTTTAAAAATGGTCCATATTTTAAAAAAAAAACAACTATTTAAAAGAAAAGAAATATTGTTTAATCTGTATCCCTTCCCAGAACCTGGCTAGAGATTGATGAGATAGAAGTTCTGGGGTGATAGACTCAAAAATCACATCAGGCTCTAATTCTTGAGGGGGAGGGAGGTCCCACAAAGCCTTCAAGGATGCTTCTGTTTGAATACATCTGTTCTTTTCCATTCTGACATGTTGGACCCTAACTGTAAAGACTGGGTCCTTTTTGGCCCACCCTGTCTCACTTGATTGGTGACAACTCTGTTAGGAAAAGAGGACAATCTGTCTTGATTATAATGGGTCCTCTGTGGTTCCTGGCTTTCTTAAAACCACTCTTTCAAGCTGTTGCCTGCTTCCAACCCAGTGGGAGTGTAGAAAGTGTTGTATGAGAGAGAGGAAACACGTGCACACCCCACATGCTTTGATCTCCAGCAGTGTTAAGTGGACACAGGAATGTGTTGTATAGGATGGACTTTTCTCATGTTACGTGGCCGATTGGAATGTGTTTCTCATTTCTCAAGATGGATAGGGCCCCTCCACATTGTCTTGGTATTTTGTGTTTTACGGTTGTTATTGTTACTTCGTAATCACATATTATGGCTCAATCTTCCGCTCTGTCTTCCTTCTAGTTACGGACGAGTTTATGCTACCGACCCCTACCACCACACACTTGCTCCAGCCCCCACCTACGGCGTTGGTGCCATGGTGAGTACCACTTCCTCTTCTTCCTGGCTTCTTCCTTGCCCCCCTCCCATGGCCCCCATCCGCCCTTTTCCCCAGCTGGGCTCTCAGGATGGGTTGACGGCTGACGTCCTCTCACTTTCCCTTAATTGAATTTGTCTCTTGTGCTAACAGCAGCTAAAAAAAAATGCCACATTAATCCTCCCAGTAAACTTGATAAATGTCTTAATTTCTTGGCAATGTCGTGCATGTAAGTTATTATATTTCTCATTTTGCAAGTCTCACCTAGCCAAGCACTTACCTTAATGGAATAATTAGTCATGTTGATAATGAAATCCATCACTAACGGAATGCAGTGTCAATGCAGAACTTTTTGTTTTCTTTTTTTTTCCCTCCCTCCCTTGCCGCTCATTCACATAGCCCCAAGGTTCCAGCCCCACCACAGACCTCAGAGGAGCTAAGCTGCACAGTTCCAGGCCACTGCTGTCAGGCAGCTGAGAATCTGCCTGCCTCTCCTCCCCTATTACAATTCATGTTTAAAGTCATAGTCGCCCAGGAAAGAAAATAGAGAGAGAGGCACGCTTTGTGTGTGTGCCTAGTACATGAGGAATTAGAAGGAAGCAGTTTGGGAGTTGTCTTTTCTTTTTTTTTCTTTTTTTTTTTTGTGGGGGGGGGGGCTGGGTTTTTGTTTTGGGAGGGGTTTGGGGGGAGGGCAACACTGGGAGGTGAAAGGGGGGGATGGTGAATTTGCCTGTACTCGTTCAAACTTCTATGCACTAAAAGCGTACAGTAAGACGTGCCCATCACCTGAGAGCGTATGCAATCATTACAGAGCTTTTTGGCATGCAGATTTCTGCTTGAGATCAAGACGATCAGTTCTTCTCTTAAAGATAAAGCCCCAGAGGCGTTCATTGGCATCGCCAAAACTTTTCACAAAAGGAGATAGTTAAGTGCCGTCTAAAACCACGGCTAGGCAATTCCCTGGAGCTTGGCGGTAGACATTCCACCATGATTGGGAAACCTATCATTTTTTGCACAAGCTCAGTGACATCCAGTAATTCATCTGCACAACTCCCCTCTCAAGAGCACCTTCCATACAGATTGTTCAGCCGAGTCAAGTAAAAAGTGGACTTACACGTTCGTCCCGCTTTTGCATTCAGCCACTCCACTTCAACACCCAGTCCACTGGGGGAAAGTGTTGGCCCAGAGGGTTGAATGACAACATTCAATAAGTTTTCTGCTGCAACATCTTGAGTGTAGACAGAGCCTTTCCCAACAGAGTGCATTGTTATCAGTGACTCAGACGGGCCAACCCTAAGAGACAGCATCAATCTTTCAGCGGTCCATTTGTTTCAGAGTCCTTTTCAGCTCCCAGGGCTGGCCGCCCCAATTTGGTTCTAAGGGAATGTTTGTTATAAGGAGCGATGGGGGGAGGAGGTCAGGATTGGTCCTATCTTCAATTCTCTAAAAAGTGGACCCAGGATGGGTAGGGGATGCCTCCATATTGGTTGTTTCTGAGTGGGGGGGATGGTGAATTTGCCTGTACTCGTTCAAACTTCTATGCACTAAAAGCGTACAGTAAGACGTGCCCATCACCTGAGAGCGTATGCAATCATTACAGAGCTTTTTGGCATGCAGATTTCTGCTTGAGATCAAGACGATCAGTTCTTCTCTTAAAGATAAAGCCCCAGAGGCGTTCATTGGCATCGCCAAAACTTTTCACAAAAGGAGATAGTTAAGTGCCGTCTAAAACCACGGCTAGGCAATTCCCTGGAGCTTGGCGGTAGACATTCCACCATGATTGGGAAACCTATCATTTTTTGCACAAGCTCAGTGACATCCAGTAATTCATCTGCACAACTCCCCTCTCAAGAGCACCTTCCATACAGATTGTTCAGCCGAGTCAAGTAAAAAGTGGACTTACACGTTCGTCCCGCTTTTGCATTCAGCCACTCCACTTCAACACCCAGTCCACTGGGGGAAAGTGTTGGCCCAGAGGGTTGAATGACAACATTCAATAAGTTTTCTGCTGCAACATCTTGAGTGTAGACAGAGCCTTTCCCAACAGAGTGCATTGTATCAGTGACTCAGACGGGCCAACCCTAAGAGACAGCATCAATCTTTCAGCGGTCCATTTGTTTCAGAGTCCTTTTCAGCTCCCAGGGCTGGCCGCCCCAATTTGGTTCTAAGGGAATGTTTGTTATAAGGAGCGATGGGGGGAGGAGGTCAGGATTGGTCCTATCTTCAATTCTCTAAAAAGTGGACCCAGGATGGGTAGGGGATGCCTCCATATTGGTTGTTTCTGAGTGTCTAGTTTTTCAAATAGTAGTCTTTTCTTTTGATGATCCACGTGTTGCAAAAGGAAAACGTAAAAAACACACCCCTTAAATTGCTTTGTTTCAGAATGCTTTTGCATCCTTGACGCACAGTATTGTTAGTGACTCAAACAAGCCAACAATAAGAGACAGCATCAATCTTTCAGCGGCCCATTTGTTTCAGAGTCCTTTATAGATCCCAGGACTGGCCGCCCGAATGTGGTTCTACAGGGATTTTTCATTGTAAGGAGCGATTGCGGGGTGGGGAGAGGTCAGGCTTGGCCCTATCTTCAAATCTCAAAAAAGTGTGCCCGGGATGGGTAGGGGACGCCTCCATATTGGTTGTTTCCGAGTGTCTATTTTTTCACATAGTAGTCTTTTTTGATGATCCACGTGTTGCAAAAGGAAAATGTAAAAAACACACCCCTTAAATTGCTTTGTTTCAGAATGCTTTTGCACCCTTGACTGATGCCAAGACTAGGAGCCATGCTGACGATGTGGGTCTCGTTCTTTCTTCATTGCAGGCTAGTATATACCGAGGGGGATACAACCGTTTTGCTCCATACTAAATGACAAAAACCATTAAAAAAAAAAAAAAAAACAACCTTCCAATGTGGGGAAAAAGGAAGCTTTCCGAGGCCTGGGTATTGCAATACATGCAGTAGTGCATCATTTTAGCATCTAAAAAAAAAAATTAAATTAAAAAGAGGAAAAAAAATTACATTTTTTATCTTATACCTCAGATATTTTGTTCTGTGTATTTTAATATTGTGGGTCTTTCATTTCTGAAGGTTCTGTAGTTTGGTTGCTGGCTGTAGGCAGTTTTTCTTTGTGGTTGATCTAGAGAGATGCTAGCTATGACTAAACACTGGTATAGGGCCATATCCAGAGTGCTGTATTCTGTAAATGAATTATATATGCTGAATATTAAGCTACTGGGGTTATCAGCTGTTGGGGAAGAGTGTAAGTGACTACAGGAGTCATGTTCTTTTCTGCATCCACATTATTTTATTTTATGAAACGGGAAGGGTGGGAGGGACCTAGGGGGTTGGGGACTGGGGTTTGGCTGAAAGGGAAAAAAAAAGTAACTGATGAATCTAAACGACCCACTGCACCAACGTCCATATAGCAACGGTTCTAAGTTACTCACTGTCAGTTCAAGCCAAAGGTTAGGTTGTTAAGAGGATGCTTCTAGAAATACTTGTGCATCCAAGCTGAATGCAGCTGTGCAAACCCACCCTTTACAACCATTCCACCCGGCAGTATTCAGCTTCTTAACCAGCCACTAGTTATTTAGGCAAAAGACTGCTAGTTAGGCCATCTGCAAGCATTCTTTTTATATTTCTTCCAGTATAATAAATTATTGATATCATTGCTGACTTTTATATTATGGGAGGGAAAAAAATAACATTAATAAAAAGGTGATAAAAAGCACTGTTTCTATTTTTTTCTTTTTTTCCAAAAAAAAGAAAGTAATAAAAACTTAAATTCTTTGTACCAGTGAAAAAAAAATGTATAAAATTTACATCTGTGCAGTGGCGTTGTTAAGTTCTAGAAACAGTCTTTCGAAGCTTTAGTTTTAGCCTCGTAGAACAACTGTTACAGACAAGACGTATAATTTTTATGGAATTACATGATAATCATATTCGGATTTATAGAAGCATTTTACAAGTATTGCAATCATTGGGTAGAGATAATCATGGTATTTTCATCTGCTTGGTACTTTTTGAAACATGACTGTGTTGTGTAAGCAACCTGCAATTTTTCAGTCCGTGAGAGCCCGCCCTCATTTTTTTCCCGATCCCCAAGGATTCTCTCAAATCAATATCTTTAGTTTTCTTTTTTTGTCTCCAAGGCCCAGGACACTTGTCAAAAGGAAGCAAAAAAAGTAGGTCCACCCTCAACATCCCCTAAAGAACAACCCCCTCCCCCCCACCTCGGAAGCAGGGCCAAAATGACGCATTCGAAAAATTGCAGTTTGTCTGTATACTTCTTCTGTTCGAAGTCCTTTCATGTTGTTCTGTTTACAAAATTAATCTCAGTTGGGGTATCTGTCATGGATCTTCCTGTTTTTGTATTTAAATAAAAAATATATATATATATCCTGCAGCAAGTCGTCCCCAGTAGTTTTGCTGCCATAGTTAACAATTTCCATGTGTGCGGTGCAGGCCTTCTTATGGCACGCACTTTAGTAAAGCTCTCAACTCACTGCTGTGAACCTGCCAATCCGCTGTAACAACTCTGCTTTAAGACAAAACCAGACAAAACTTTAAAAAAAAAAGTGTTTGTGATCCAGCTTTTCTCTTGTCATCCAATGTGCATGCAGTAAGATCAGTTGGATATTAAACCATCAATAAAGTTTCACAAGATTTGAAAACCGAGTTTCTGTAGCTTCGCTATCTAAGATCACCGTGATCTTGCAAAAAAACAAAAAACAAAAAAAAAAAAGAGAGAGAAACGGGGGAAAACTGCTGCTTAGCAGCCTAAAAGCAGAGAAAACTATTCTTTTCACCAGTGGGGGAGGGAAGAGGGGAGAGGGTGCTTGATAGCATCCCTGAGACATTCTCATCTTCCCCCACGTGGAAGAAGGTGTTACGACAATGGGTGCCTGGTTGATGTTTTTGAGGGAAAGGACGTATTAAGATGCTAAGGCATCCGACCCCAAAGTGGGGTGAGGTAGAAGGAACAGGGGGTTTGGGAGAATCAAGCAAAGTCTCCCATGTGTCTCAGATTTCAAAATCCAGAATTTGCACTGTATTTGGAATCACAAACATAGAATTCTTACTGTGTTGGTTCAAGTAAAACTAATTTGCAGTTTTGATTTTCATTGATGAGCTGTACTTTCCCCCATGACTGTATGTAGTTTTAATAAAATCATTTAGAGCAAGTGGGTGCCAACTGATGTTACAGACTCTTTTGTCAGGCACTCCTCCAAGAGGCCAATAAGTCATTTTAAAATGTATGTCAGAGATGTAAACAGACATTTTGGATTTTTTTAAATGGTATTTATTTGGAATGTTTTCATTTATCTAAATAACTATTGCTATTATGAATTATGGAAAAAAAAAGATTACTATCATGTGTGGCATATAGTGACTTAACACACACCTCACGCAATCTGCAAACCCAGAAAATGTGTATATCTGTCTTTAGAAATTAGTGTTTATATCACTTACAGTGGTTTGTGAATAAAGAAAACTGGTTTGTAATATCAAAAAATAAAAGCTTAGTCTGAAAAGGTCCACATGAGTTGGTGTTCTGATTCTTTGGCCTCTGTGTGTTTCCTGGGAGAGTGGATTTGTCATGTCCACGGCCGCTCTTGTGCTCACCGGGGCGGGCGGTGCAGCTGCCCAGGTAAGCAGCAGGCTTTGTCGCCACCGGTAGGCCAGGCGGCGCCCTGCAGGGGACCCGAATAGCTGGGTCACATGATTCCTCTTCCTCACCCATCTTTCCCAAGAAGTCAGTGGAACCAACTCCAGATGTCTGAGAAAGAAACAGAACTAAGCTGAGCTATTTCCCCACCATGGAAACCTCAGTCTTTGGTTGAAAACAAAACAACAACCAAAAAACAACCTTACGTTTCAAATGAAAACAGCTACTAACATCTATTAAGTTTTTAGTACAGCTGTTTACTGGCTTCCCAGGTGGCACTGATGGTAAAGAATCCGCCTGCCAATGCAGGAGACGTGGGTTCAATCCCTGGGCGGGACAGATCCCCTGGAGGAGGGCATGGCAACCTACTTCAGTATTCTTGCCTGGAGAACCCCATGGACAGAGGAGCCTGGCGGGCTACGGTCCAGGGGCTCGCAAAGAGTCGGACAAGACTGAAGCGACTTAGCACATATGCACGCACCCATGCAAAGCTAATTATCCAGACAATAGTGAGGGAGGCTTGTAGGAAGAAGACGAAAAAAAAATCATCATAGTAAGTGGCAGAGTTGATGTTTATCAAGTGCTTCCCAGGGAGCACAGTGAAAAAGAATCTGCCTGCAATGCAGGAGATGCTGGTTTGATCCCCGGGATGGGAAGATCCCCTGGAGAAGAAAATGGCAACCCACTCTAGTATTCTTGCCTGGAGAATCCCGTGTGCAGAGGAGCCTCGTGGGCTACAGTCCATGGGGTCGGAAAGAGTCAGACAGGCTTCTCATTGCGGTGGCTTCTCTGGTTGGCAGCGCACAGGCTGTAGGGTGCCCGGGCTTCAGTAGTTGCCGTTCCCAGCACTGGAGCGCAGGCTCAGTAGTTGTGGCACACAGGCTTAGTTGCTTTGCAATATGTGGAATCTTCCTCGACCAGGGATCAAACACGTGTTTCCTGCATGGGCAGGTGGATTCTTACCACTCAGCCACCAAGGAGGTCCGTCTTCATAACATCTTAATCCTATCTCATTTAGTTATCTTAACACTGCTGTCAAATTGGTAATACATACAGAAGATTTTAAAATATGGAGTGTGTACACAGGTGTTCTGAGTTTGAATCCTGATTTGGTCCTTTGCCAGCTGGAGTCGAGGGGGCCTACGTGCTCAGCTAAGTCGTGTCCGCCTCTGTGACCCCCATGGACTACAGCCCATCAGGCTTCTCTCTCCATGGGGTCTTCCAGGCAAGAATATTGGAGTAGGTTGCCATGCCCTTCTCCAAGGGATCTTCCCGACCCAGGGATCGAACCTGCATCTCCTGCATTGTAGGCAGATTCGTCTGCGCCTCTATGAAGCCCTGCAGTCAAGGGTAACTTAACCCAAAGCTCTGTGCCTTAGGCTTCTCCTCCATAATTCACAATGAGAAAGACTACCTGCCTTTTGATACTGTTATGTGGAATAAATAGGGCTTCCCAGGTGGTTCTAGTGGTAAAGATTCCACCTGCCAATACAGGAAACATAAGAGATGAGGGTACGATCCCTGGGTTGGGAAGATCCCCTGGAGACGGGCATGGCAATCCATTCTAGTATTCTTGCCTGGAGAATCCCATGGACAGAGGAGCCTGGCGGGCTAAGGTCCGTAGGGTTGCGAAGAATCAGACACAGACACGACTGATGCGACTTAACACACACATGCATGGAATAAACAAAACAATCTATGGAACGGGCTTACAGCAGCACTTTGTAAATTGCAAGCTTATCATTCACAGGTGAGGACCCTGAGACCAAAGAGGTGAATGTGTCTAAACCACACATCAGGCAAGTGGCAGGTCTGACAGTCCAGAACAGGCATCCTTGCTCTCCTGGCCCAATGGGAACTTTCAGCATTAGACTGTAGAACCAAAAAGTCTTAACTCTAAGTGTGAAAAGCTGACTTGAGTAAGGCAGTTCTCTTCATAGCATGAATTATACCATTTCAAGTATATCCAGTGCCCTTCTCTGTAAATTCCTTATACAGGGGACTGTGCAAGTTACATCAGCTTCCACTGCTCTGTGTCCACTGACCCCTGAAGACAGTGCTACCCTGATTTTACAAATGAAGACAGTATGGTGTGATAGGTCCAATGATTTGCCCAAACTCATGTCTAGTGACTTTTGGCCTGGAAGCTTGCATCTTCTTCCGAAATTCTCTCATTATTGATGATGTTGGTGGTGGTGATGGTTGTGGTGAACTTGGGCTTCTAGTACTCTCCTTATGAAATATGTAAGGTTATATAATTTTAAAAAAGAAATCCCCAGCTTTATCCTGGCACAGGGTCAGGGGGGAAATGATGTTGTTCAGTTGGTAAGTCATGTCCGACTCTTTGCGACCCCATGGACTGCAGCACGCCAGGCTTCCCTGTCTTTCACCATTCCCCCAGAATAGTCATCTTTGCAAATGCTGATTTATAGCTGAGTCCCGGCCAAGTCCAAATCAGAGGATATAAGTAGAAATAGGGGCTTCCCTGGTGGTTCAGTGGTAAAGAACCCGCCTGCCTGGTCTATGAGGTCGCGAAGAGTTGCTCATGACTGAACAGCAAGTAGTGATGACAAAAACTGTTGTTTACATCAGAATCTCCCAAATCAGGTTCTTCTCTGAAATGGAAATAAGCACATATATTTAACGTGAAGTGTCAAGAAAATAGAAATGGATGGAAGAAGTGAAATGGTTTCCTAGAAGACCTAACCAGTGGATGCCCATGTTTGGCAACCACTCCCCTTGTCCACCTGGAGTGTGGGCAGAGGTGAGCTAGCCAGCCAAGGGGAGGTGATGAGGTGATACCAGGTGTGGTACACAGGCTTTATAGATAATCTGGGAGATGGTCAGAGCCTCATCTCATCTGTAATTTCTTAAAGCAGTATTATTTATTTATTTACCTGCCACAGGTCTTTTAGTTATGGCCTGTGGGATCTAGTTCCCAGACCAGGGATCAAACTGGGGTCCCCTAGCCACTGGACCACCAGGGCAGGCTGCTATCCTGAGTCTGAGTCCTGATTCGGTCCCTTGCCAGCTGCAGGCAGGGGTGCCTATGTGCTCAGTCATGTCCAACTCTTTGCAACCCCATGGACTGTAGCCTGCCAGGCTCCTCTGTCCATGGGATTCTCCAGGCAAGAATACTGGAGTGGGCTGCCATTTCCTTCTCTAGGGGATCTTCCCGACCCAGGGATTGAACCTGAGTCTCCAGCATTGCGGGCAGATTCTTTACCACTGAACCACCTGGGAATATCCATGCATATTCTCACCCTTTCTCATGACAACCTGTGACTATTTTTTCACACTTAAAGCCAAGAATTAAAACTGAAAAAATAGTCTCTCTAGGGTAGAGATAAAAGAGCTATTTTTGTTCGAAAATGAAAAACAGCCCTTTTTTTTGGTTCTTTTTGTTTTTTATTCACTGCTGGATATGTGTGTGTGTGCACATATATATTATATATATCCTATATACTCAATATTATATATATTATATATTTGAGAGATTTGTATGTAAATTCACAAGACACAGTCTTTTCTGAAGGATATGAAACTCCCATTGTACAATCACTCAAGATTCAACCTGACGTTTGATGTCAGACCAAAGGCAGCCATTTCTCACTGCTTTTTTGCAGTACTAACAGATAGAAATTTGGGCTTGACTAGGAGCAGCTGGCCCCAGGGTACTTTTGAAGCGTCTCCTAGGAGACCCAGTCTTAGTTGATAGAGTGTGTCCTAGTCACCCTCCTGGAGAGTTAGGGGAGTGGAACCAGGGTGTGCCTCTGACTCTGACCTGCTTTGCTCATTGGTATATGGCCTGCAGAAGGGCTTCCCTGGTGGTTCAGATGGTAAAGACTCTGCCTGCAATGCAGGAGACTGGGGTTCGATCCCTGAGTCAGGAAGATTCCCTAGAAAAGAGAATAGCTACCCACACCAATGTTCTTGCCTGGAGAATTTCATGGACAGAGGAGCCTGGTGGGCTAAGGTCCATGGTGTCCATAAAGAGACAGGCACTACAGAGTGACTAACACTTTCACTTTTTTTTCTTCCCTTCAAAGGGGAAATATATTTGGGGCAGCAAAGTAGTACTGTGATGAAAACACCCCAGGGTCTTTTAAAACTGATGGTGTTGGGGGAGCAAATGCTGTAGGTTGTATTGAGAACAAAACATAGTGAGATTAGGCTTCTCAGCTGGCTCGCTGGTTAAAAAAAAAAAAACCTGCATGCCAATGCAAGAGATGTGGGTTCAGTCCCTGGGTTGGGAGGATCCATTGGAGGAGGGCATGGCAACCCACTCCGGGATTCTCGCCTGCAGAATCCCAGGGACAGAGGAGCCTGGCAGGGTTAGGGCTAGGGTCCATAGCATCACAAAGAGTCAGCCATGACTTGGCAACTGAACAACAACAAAATGATGAGACTGGCTAACATTGTTTGAAAACCATCTCAGCCGGCCTACAAAACATTTAATCTTTACACTATAAACACATAGCTGTCTATATATGAACATGTTTAAGAGAGGCATTCAGAAAGCTTCCACCTCTCGGTGCTTCAGTTACACTCTCTATAAAATGCAGATGATAGATAATATCCACTATGGAGGGTTCCTAAGAGAATGAAATGCATTCAAACATGTGAAGCACTTAGTCTGGCATATAGCATTGTTTCTTTTTACCAATAAATCATTTCTATCTATCTGTATAATTTATTGGTGTCCATATATATTTCAAAGATTCAAATCATATACCCTATTGATATGATATGCATAACACAATTGATTATACATACAGGTTTATGCATCTAAAATGAATCTGTATACACACATGGGGAGCAAAAGGTTCTTTTTATTTTAAATTTTATTTATTTTTATTGGGGGCATAGT